TGCTCTGAAGATGGAGGCGATACGTTCCTCCGAAACGTCAGCCAAAACGAAGAATACACGGCGCCAAAACACAGAAGACGACTTTCTTCATAGTCATCGCCGTGAAAACCTCAAAACTTACACAATTCAGTAGTTTAAAAATATTCATTAATGTGTACTGCCTGATAATACCTTCGTAAGCTGAAACATGCAGCACACTGTCACACTATTAAGGCCAATAAACTCATTATAAACAGTAAATGTGAATGAGATTTTGATAGTTGTTGTGTTCAGACAGAAACCAAATGAAGTCTTATAGGATAAAACAACAGGATGCCTTTCTTAAAAGTCAGTTTACTTACTTTCATAAAGGCTCCAGAGTGCTTGTTAACCATCTGCACAACACCAATGATGCTGCCACGAATGAAGATGGGCATGCACAATATGGACTTGGTACGATATCCTGTCAACTGGTCTATTGTGCGGTTGAACCGTGGATCACAGTATGCATCAACAATGTTCAGCACCTCACCAGTATTAGCCACCTGACCTGCAATGCCTTTGCCAAGTGGGAATCTGTAACATATGTACACTTGAAAACAGAAGTGCAACATGTAGTAAGGATTCTTTCCAAAATCTTCATTATAGTGTGAGTTTATTATCTCTAAACAATTTTTTTTTTAAATTTTTATCTACAAAATGGATTAGACCATGTGGTGAATATGCTGATGAGTGTGGTACAAACCAAAGCTCTCAAAATGCCTGCCTACATCTTCAGCAATTTTATTTTAATCCATCTTATATTTCCTTCATAAAAATTTTTCCCTATGTAAACTCTTCAAAACTGCTTAAATTCTAATCACTTGTACATTTCCTGAAACTAGAATTTTCAAGCAGTACACAAGTCTTTATCACCTCACTGAAACATACAATTTCAAAGATTGTTATAACTGGAAACTATGTGTGACTGATTATAAGACAAGATGGTGGTAACAGAAGGAGACTGTTACACTTAACAAGCAAAATAAAGGTAACATAAAATAATCGCCTTTGCATGTTTTGTTGTCATTTGTATTGACATTGTTGTTGTTAATTTGTTTTCATTGTTACTGTTGCTGCTGCTGCTGTCGGTGTCGGTGGTGGTGGTGTTATGAAAGCAAAATACAAAACGTCTGCTTGATCAGGATTGTGCCTGCCTTCCATACTATCTTATAGAAGATACGTTACTACATATGTTACAACTCAGTGTGTGAAATCAGAAATAGAAAATTTCTCTTAATATAAGTGATGCATTGGAAAGTGAAAACCTGTAAGCCAACACACATACATCCCATTCTTGATGTTGCTGCATGACAGTGAATAGATCTACGTATGCATACATACACTCATCCACTGAATCAATTATTTATTTTCTTTATTTCTTTCTTAACATTGCACAGTCATTCATACTCACTCAGACTGGGGAATTCTCCAACTTCCTTCATGCCTAATACCAACATAGTCAAAGCAAGTAAACGCTATCTGTATAGACCTCAAAATTCAAAGAATGACATATGATAATATCCTTTTCATTCACCAGCTTCCCCAGGGTTTAATTTGGAAGCTGTGTTTGGGACCTCAGAAACGTCACTTGCTAGTAGTATAAATACTGTAACGTGTTATGCGTTACTGATCCCACTTCTGACACCAGTGTAACGTGTTTACGTTNTCATCAAAGAAACAGAGCATATCAATTTTTTTAAAAGCTAAAAATATCTTAATGATTTCTGTATATTTTGTTGCACATTTTAGAGCTTCCTTTGAAAGAACTTGTCAAACTGCATATGAGCTTCGTGTAAATTGAGATTTACATGGATAATAAAGTCTCAAATTAAAGTCAATGAACAAATCCAGTGCAGATGAAAAACGTACCTGATCTCTGTGGAGTTCTGGACTTTTGCAATTGCTTCTTCACTACCTGAAGTATTGCCTCCAGTCCTGGTGTCCCCAGCACCATCTCCTGTGATTCCGACATCAAATATACGTGCATAAAGTTCCTTGTTCTTACTGTCCACAAGGAAAAGGGATGCTCTGTCAGCATCCACCAGCCTCTGTGCAAAGTTCATTATCTTCATTATAAGGGTGTCCATGCTCACCATGTCCTGGAAGATGGACCTGCAGCATAATGTTTTTTTTCCTCATAAGTAGTGCTGAAATATATAGCATTGTTGTAACTTCCCCTTGACCCATTTTCCTTGGCATAAACTACTCATGTATCTTATGTCACGCAAATATTCTTTCTCCTTTAGTAATTATTTTGTTATTCACATTCACAACATATATTACATGTACAAGTTTCCAATGTCTTGTTGGCTTGTTGACATGTTTTATATTCTGTGCCTGTGCACATTTGTGAATAATCTGAAACGCAAATGTATATGTATGTATGTAACCTGGCACAACAGGTAAGGAATGTCATTGACATATCATACCAGTGTGTTCCAAAATATTAATCATTCTGCTAAGTAATTCCCAGGCAGAAAGCTGTTCCATTACACTTCTCAACATATAGATAAGTCACACAGTCCAGAGAGGAACATCACACGATTAGAATGTGTGGAGCTATACCTCCATTATTCCTTGTGTCATCATGGTACTGTACTTAACTAAGCTCAGGAATAACTTAATCCACACCTACTTTCCTAATTTGTGACTTACTTGACAACAGCCAGCAGAAAGTCGTTTAGTTTCCTCTGCTTGTTCATGCTGAGGTACAGCTGCGCATAATGCAGTGCGATGCCCCCCCAAACTAAGTAGCTGCTGGCAATCTCTTCATCTTCCTCGTGGAATGGATCATGACGCCACAGCTCCACCACAGCAGCCAGCTGGCCATCAGTCTGTATGACGGGTTCATATAGTGCATGATCCGCTTCAATCTGCAATAAAGACAAAAACTGTGGAACACCTACTTTTTAACAAATTTGAGAGTACTGAAATTTTTTAAAACTCAAGGTTCCCAAACACTTTATTTCCGTTTATCCATCCCTTAGCTTTATGGTCGTTTAATGATAATACCAATGTATCACAATTCTTTGATTTTTCTACAATTACACTTACCTACTTCAGTATTATCTAAATGTGTTATATTTCTACATGCACTTTGATTGGAAAATCAATCTATCTGAAGAGAAGTTCAAAGATGTATTATTAAACTGGCATGTATGTTTTAAGATTTCTTTTGCCTCATTTTTGGTAAAGAGGCTTTGGAAGCTAGTTCTGTTTCAGACATTAGAAGAATGAAGCCTACTCTGTTAGGCCTCTTAGCTTGAGCCCATCACCACTTCCAGTTCAGGGAAAGAGATCTAACAAGCACAATAGAACAGGTGCCATTTTTCTATGTGACACTTTCCAGAACATGGTTTTCTTTTGACACACAATGAGATTATGGAAATATATGTCAGTTTACATATTTATCTTACTTTGTTGGGAAGTCCATCAGGGAACCTTGCATCAAGGTCTACTCTAGACAGTCTAAGGGGCTGTCTTGTTCTGGCCACGTACACAGGCACGGTAAGGCTTGACCCCTTCTCCATCATGGTTACTCCTTTCTCTATTCTGCAAAAATATGATTACATATATTACTCCTCATTCCATCAAATTCTCCATAAGCATTATCACCAGTACAGGTACAATAGGACATATGGAAGCCGAAGTGCCGAGGGGACCTAATATTGATTCCACCTGACACTATATGAAATCTTAAGTATTGTAATATACTGTAATCTATTGTGAACAATTTTAAGTATTGTAACTTTATTCTCTTATTGTAATCAGCCAATGTGCAGTAACTGACTTGTCCTATATCATGTAACAATGATCTATAGAGACGAAATCTATAAATAAATTCACGCACTGCAGAAAAAGGAGTATTAGTAAATGATTCTTGAGTTCATATAGGCACCTTCAATTGCCATCTTGATTTTAGTAAATTACTTCTTATGTATATTTCATCCATGTTAGGTGGGAACCTTGTCACCACAGCATGACACGTCCTCAGGTTGTGGATGGAGGAGATGGCCTACAGATATGGAGGGTAGCTACGAATATATTGAATAAGCAGTCGTGGACTTCCAACAAGGGGTGATCCTCCAGATTGGAGGTTGGGCGTGTGGTTAACAACTCCGCACCCTAAAAAATAAGCTTGTTACGAAAATGTTCAAGAAGCCTCAGACCTGGACGAATTCTGTGGATAAAAGACCCAGGCGAAGGAAAATGGACATGGGATTCGGTACATGGAATGTTAGAAGTATGTATAGGGAAGGTCCACTCAGGCAGTGGTGGAAGAAATCTCAAAATATCAGTTAGATTTAGTAGGAGTACAGGAGATCATGGGATGGAGGTGGCAACAAACCAGCAGGCAGATATACATTTTTCTATGGAAAGGGGAATGAAAATGATGAATTAGGTACAGGTTTTTTTGTACATAGGAGAATCATATCAGCAGTTAAGAGGGTACAGTTCGTTAGTGATAGGGTATCATATATAATACTAAAAGGTCGCTGGTGTGATATCATTGTTCATGGGATACCCATTAAACTAGTCAAACTGATTAAAATGTGTGTTAAACGAAACATATGATAAAGTCCATACAGGTAAACATTTGTCCGATAATTTTCCTATCAAGAATTGTGTAGAACAATGAGATGCTCTTCAACTTTGCTTTAGAATATGTTATTAGGGAGGTCCAGGAAAACAAGGTCGGACTGAAATTAAATGGGACACATCAGCTGTTGGTCTGTACTGATGATGTGAATCTACTGGGTGATAATGTAATGTAATATAACCATAAAGAAAAACACAGAAACTTTAACTGAGGCTAGTGAGGAGGTTGGTCTAGAAGTAAACACAGAGAAAACTATGTATATGTTTCTGTCTCATCACCAAAATGCACAACAAAATCATGACATAAAAATAGCTAACAAATGTTTTGAAAATGTGGCACAGTTCAGATATTTATAGTACATAGGCCTATTGAAATATTCCATATGAAGTACCTTTCGTCATCTCCCGGGTAGAGGCCCAGCATCTCTGGGTCTCCCTTCTCTGCCAGATAAAGCCGATAGCCTTCTGCCCCCACAGCGGAGCAGATACAACCGGCTAATTCCCAAAGGACATGAGCTTCTGTTGGTTTCTGCTGAAGCGACTTGGTTAGCTCCTGAAGCATCTGTCGTTTGTCGGCGTGCACGCAAAACTGTGGGCGCAAGGAAAAAATCATGTGCATTATATGGATACTCTTATCAACCAAAAAGAAATGGTGAATAAAATGGAGATAAGGTATGTATTTAGCATACTTTATTGGCAACGGAGATCTGTGGGGTACAATGTAGAAATGACATATATAATTATTTACCAACCACACAGAACCTACCTACCTACCTACCTATCTACCTACCATTCGGTGCTACAGCCCTGGGTGAGCCTTGGCCTCCTCTACAACCAGTCTCCACAACCAATGCGTGCTGCCATAGGAATGTATCCACGCATGATGACCTGAGGCTGGTTGTTATGTTTCTGAACAAAATTCTTTTTACAGGATGAGGTTGTTAGCCTCATACCCAACCCCCAACCTGGAGGAGCAGGGTATCTCTTAGTCTGGACTCTACCCTTTGACATTCCTGGTGACCCTACTGGTAATTAAACTACTGCTGGTATAGCTCTCCAGGTCACAGAGTCACACAAGCCCCACCATCATGACAAGGTGGAGACACTTTTGGAGGGAACCACACAGAAATGTGAAGTAAATTGAAGGAATGTACATATTGCATAGTGATCAACAAGTTTTGTCAGCAGGACAGAACTGTGGGGCACAAGGCGAGTATAATGTACACTTTTATCAACTGCACAAACCTGTGGGGGCAAGATACAGACATAGTATGCTTGTTTAGCAACTGAGGAAACTATGGTATACATTACAAAAATAGCAATCACTAACATCATATCAGCCTTGCAAAACTGATGATACTAATTAATATGCATAGGAATGGAACTGGTTTTACTCATGCGGCTTGAATATAAAAATAATGTTACCTAATTAAATTAGAATTAACATGCTATACATAAGAAATGATCAACACCAACAATCCTATTTTGCTTAAAAATGAGTTCCATATGTATGGTAGTTAAGCTGGACCTTATCCTCGTGTATACGGAAAACTAACGTTGGCTTTGCAGGGCTTCAGTAATTCATTTGGTTCAACTGTTGACTATGTTCAAGCAATACATAACATTCTTATTTGTTTGATACAACTTATTAGATTATAATTACAGGGCTGCCAGAGATATAAGGATATGAATGTGACATTTAACTCATATTTTACCTGAGAAATATGTATGTGTATTTTTATCTGAATATTTGTTCAAATTGGCTTGCAATAATTTAAGGCTATGTATAACACAGAAAGGTCCTGTAAAGCCACATTAAAATTATAATTATAAATGGAACAGCAGAATTATGGTGCAAGCATTTCCAATCTTTTCATCAGGGAATATAGGCCTAGGGCCGCACCATAGCGCAAGCGGTTAGTCGCTGGCTTCCCAACTCAGTGGCCCGGGTTCGATCCCGGGGTCTGGTCAAGTGGGATTTGTGGTGAATAAAGTGGCTCTGGGGCAGGTTTTATCTGAGCACCTTGCTTGTCATACATTGAATCAAGCTGTGTATAGGCATTGTAAAAATGCATGCATCGCGGTACGGTCCAAAAAGAAATCTGCTACAAGTACTACCACTGACTATTTTTTCCCTTTGGCGCTACAGCCCCAATTTGGGCCTTGGCCTACCTCCATGAAACTCTCCTTTTCACTTCGGTTTACTAGATCTTAAGACATATTGGTAGGACTCCTTGGGTGGATGATCAGCTTGTCACAAGGCCTCTATTTGTACACAAATACAGGAAAAAAAACACACACACACCAAACATCCATGCCCTGAGTGGGATTCGAACCCACGATCCCGGCTCCCGAGCGAATGCAGACACTGCATGCCTTAGACAGCTAGGCTGTCTCTACCATTGACTACATTTTGTATATTTCTTAAGGCCTTGGATCTTTTGCATTCAGGAGACAATGGATTCATTATGTGATATAGTAAAGTAAAGCTGTCTCTGTGCTTAATTAATTAAGCACTCTGTCATGGAGACGTATGGGGGGAATGAAGGAGTAATTATACAATTCTTGACCTCGGAAATTAATGCAGAAAAACTTACTTTCCACCTTGATAAACTGGTCTTCCGTGCATTCTTCCCTGAAAACAAATATAACGATTTAAATTAATAAAGCATACTACAAGCGGTAAATCGTAAATCACTGTATGTCATTCTCATTTTTAAAATTCGGCTTGTTTGAAGTATGGGAAGTGCATGTTGTGACTCGTATCCCAGAACTACATGGTGTTTCAACCCTGTAACCTCATTTTCCACCTCTTCATTTTGATTGTCATAAGCAGGCCTGAGAGAAGTGAGCCACAGACCGGGCCAGTCACCACTTATTCAAAAACACATTCCTTAATACTGTTAAAATCTCTTCATGACTAATCGCCGCGAGAAGCACAGTGCAACTGACGAATGATAAAGCACAAATCTTTTACACTGATATGTTGGGATTTTGGACTTTAGCCATCGTCCTGGTTTTTAAGATAACAAATAAAAACACGACNTGTCCAGTGATTGAGGCTAGCTCTTTCTAAGGGACCCAACTGAATAGGTGTTTTCCTTCACCTGAGGACGGAAACAGATCCAGTTTCCGAAACGTCGTGTTTTTATTTGTTATCTTAAAAACCAGGACGATGGATAAAGTCCAAAATCCCAACATATCAGTGTGTTATACACCATCGTCAGAATCCTATAGTAACTACAAATCTTTTAATCTGAAAATTCCTGAGCACTGCAAAGGAATATCTATGAAAGGCCAAGAATGATAAGTGAACAATTCAATTAAACTGAATTTCCATATTTTTGCTCATTTAATACAATTTCTTAAATTAAATAAAAGTATATATGGGGGCCCCTTCGGCCAGGGTCCTGGGCCAAATGATCCTGCTGCCTTCAACCTCTCTGTATGAGCCTGGTCATAAGCGTACATTTCCTTAAATAATAGTACACCATCGAATAGGCATGTGTATGTGATGTATCTGTGTGAAAACTGACACTTATTTTGATGTTAAAAAGAAAATTTCGTACTCATATTAACTGGCACCATCACAGAAATCATTATTAAATAATTACGTGAACCCCACTTTAAACAAAATCAAAAAAATTAATCCACGAATATCTTATAAGTTCCTCAATCCTGCCGCAATAACTCGAAGCATAACCCACATTACACCATTTATTTCTGTTACAACTGATGTTTATTATGACAGCTAGTACAGTATTACTGCTGGCACTAAAGTATGAGAAATGATAGAATTGTTTCAGCCAAGCTGTAGCAGGTTACGATATATTTCAATACTTACCGGTACTCGTAGCGTCGGGACGCTTCTTGGCGCGTTGCGTACTGCGGATCACCCAACGCTCAAGAATCTCCAGTTCCACTTCTTCCATGACGAAGCGCTCCAGGAACTCAGAGTGCGACCGCAGGAACAAGCGAACCTGGTCTGCAGACGGCTCTGCAAGCACCAATCATGCTTTCGATTACATTAAAATCATTACATATAATAGTGCGATCCTCCTTGCCACGGCACAGCACATGAACGCATTAAGTACGTCACTGTGTGATCTCTATAAAGAGTTCGCGCATACGAGTAGTGTGACGAACGATTCCTTCTTACGTTATGAGGTATGTTCATTAGGCGAACCAAACTCTGATCTCCTCCAAGAACCCGCAATGATTCGTCCATTAACGGCAACTTCTTCGTCAACTGTTCCTCTGGACGCAAGAGTAGACGAAACTCTAGAAGTCAGCCTCAACCAGCTGTGCAAGGCACAGAATTTTTTCTAATTCCATCAACATTAGGAACATGACAAACCATAACATTTTCATAAATTTTTAACCTTTTAACAAATATTTCTAAAGGGTTTTGAACTATCTTTCTTGTCCGCGTTAGATTTGCGCTTAAAAATCTTGTACAAAATTTATTTTCCGGTCTAGAAAACCGAAATTAACGGGATGGGGATTCGTTGCACTGACCACGCGACGCCCGCTATCCGTTAAAAGTTAGCACTAACTTTATAATCTTGTGATGAATGTGTATGGGTTGAAATCCCTACTTTTGACGGTCTTAAGTTACTCATTGGATGCTGTTACTTTTCCCCTGACATTAAATCTCATATCGCTGATAATTACTTTGGCGTCTTAGAAAACAAGCTGGATATACATAGGTTTCGTGTTATTATGGTTTGGGATTTTAACATTCCTGGTTTCGACTGAGGAAGTGGTCTGTGTCTGACAAATTCCCATTATTACTCTAAACTTAGAGGAGATGTGATTTACGCCTCAAATGTCTTCTTAACCTTGACAAGCGCATTGATACTGCCGGCAACAGCAATCTACTTGATTTAATTTTTTCCAGCTTAAGCCTGGACTTGTAAAGCCTGATAATTACTGCCCTTCTCCGATTATCAGTATTAATCTGCCTCTTGGTGCTGTTCTTAAAAAAACAGTGTCTCGTTTAGCAATTACAGACCAATATCCCTTGTCAACACTTCTCCCAATTATGTGAACTTGTTATTCATGATCATGTTTCACATTATCTATAATTTAAAATTAGTCCTTATCAGCACGGCTTCTCTAAATCTAAAATTTCCATCTTCAGTTCGGTAAATTATGGCGATTTTATTTCCCCGTTAGTCGGCTCTCACAGGCATGCTGATGCTATTTATTTTGATCAAAGCAATGCATTAGACCTTGTCCCACATTCTCTGCTTCCTCTTCGGCTTAGTGTTTAGGGGCTTTCTGGTGCCTATGTAAACTGGTTTCGCAGTTACCTATCCAACCGGAAATCTCAGGTCCGTGTTTCTGGCATTCTTTCCTTGTCTTTTGACGTTCTCTCCGATGTTCTTCAGGACTCTGTCCTAGGACCCCTGCTCTTCATTGCCTTTATTAACGACTTATGTGACGCAGTTGCCCACTCTAAATATTTGCTTTTTACCGACGATATAAAAATCTACCGAGCCATCAAATCTCCTAAAACTGCGATCTAATACGGTCTGACATTAACTCTATATAAGGCTGGTTCACTGCTAATTTTATGAAACTGAGCATCAGTAAAACTAAGGTTGTAACCTCCTCCAGAAAAAACAAAGTACTGATCTATGATTATAAACTTTGTCAATGCTCCATAACCCGGACCGACTCTATTCAAGACATGGGAATATTTATTGACACTAAACTTCATTTTCATAACCACGTCAACCATATTTTCCCTCATTGTATTAAGCTGCTGGGTCTACTCCGTAGTATTACCTTCACCTTCTCATGTTTTGAATATATGCACTGATCATATATTAACATTAGTTAGATCTACGCTTGAATACGCGCTCGCTGTCTGGAATTCAGTTACGTCAGCTGTTGACAAGCAAGAACGCATCCAATACAGGTTTTCGGCCTTCTGTTTTAAACGTTTCTTTCCTCAAGATCATTACTGTTATTCTCTTGATATGAGGAGCTAAAATTGCACAAATTACTTATTAGGAGGCAACGCCCTCGATGCACTCTTTCTTATTCAAGTTTACCTTTGTTCTAAATTCTGGCCTTCTATTTTAGAAATTACTGGTCTTCCGAGTTCCTGCTCGGTATATCAGAGACTTTGTTTTGCCCAATGTCTGCTCCACGTGTAAAAACTGTTCCTCTGCTAGATGTGCATAAGCTGCTAAGATTGTTTGCAAGGACACTGACGTATCCGGACCCAAGAACGTTCTTCTTAATCATATTTTATAATATGTTATTATTATTATTATTATTGTAGTATGTATGTATGAATGTATTAATATTATTCTTTTTCGCCGCATAATGGCATAACCACTGCAAATGTATACCGTATAGGGTATTTTACTTTCTTCACCTCTTTATGACAACTCTGACTTTTCAAAAAATTATTATTATTATTATTGTTGTTTTTACTGACATCAAAATTTACCGAGCCGTTAGTTATCCTCATGACTGCTATCTACTTCAGTCTGACATTAACTCTATACAAGGTTGGTGCACTGCTAACTGTATGAAACTCAACAGCAGTAGAACTAAAGTTATATCCTTCTCCAGGAAAACCAACGTACTGATCTATGACTACAAACTTTGTCAATCATCTACTGCCCGAACCGATTGCATGAAAGACGTGGCAGTGTTTACTGATGCTAAGCTATATTTCCATGACCATGTCAATTATATTTTCTTTCATTGCGTTAAACTGTTGGGTCTAGTTCGTAACATTACTTTAAATTTCTCATCTCCAGACTGTATCTTCAGATTGCACACTGCACTAGTTAGTAGCTAGATCTAGGCTTGAATATGCGTCCGTTGTCTGGAATTCGATTACGTCAACTGATGCCAACAAGCTGGAACGAGTTAATATTGCATACTTTACGTACTAGGAGACATCGCCTCGATGCTCTCTTTCTTACTCAAGTTTACTTTGGTTTCAAATTCTGCCCTTCTGTTCTCGAAATGTTGGTCTCCGAGTTCCTACTAGGTATATCAGCAACTTTGCATTGTTCAATGTTTGCTCCTCATACAAAAATTGTCCCTCTGGTAGATGTGCAGCAGCTGTTAATGTTGTTTGCAGGGATGTTGACGTATTCAGAGCCAGGAATGTTCTCCCCAAACGATTTTTAAATATAGTATAATTGTTAGTATTATTATTATTTGTATGTACGATAAACAACAATAAACTGACTTATTACTATTATTATTCTCTCTGAAAATCTATACTTTTCATTTCTTAATTAAATATTTATTATGTTTCATTTCTCAGTTCTTAATAACACTTAGATGTATGTTAAGGAAATTATTACTATTACTATTATTATCATTTGTTTGTTTGTTTGTTTACTTTTCTGCATTATTTTGTTTTCCCCAGTGCTTGCCTGTAATTTGTCTTTGACTTTATGTTGTGATTGTCCATAATATAATTACTTGTATCTACACTGTGCTCTGTCTGTAATTGGCCTTGCGGCTGTTGACTTGGCACATACATAATAAAGAATTGAACTGAATTATATAATATGCCTTATTTTGTATTTTGTTTGTTAAGTTCTTGTTTCCTTCTATGTACTCGTGCTAACTTTATAATTGGCATATGGTCTGTTTAGTTTGCATGAAAAGAAATAAGACTCAAATTGGTCTGAATTATTATTGTTCCTTTCGTGAATTAGGCTTATTTCGAATCAGGATGCATTTTATGAACATAAGCGTGACTATTTCAGATAAGTAATATGAGTCCCACATCACCAAATCTTCGCAATATATGACAACAGGAGAAAAGCTAATATTCATGATATGAAAGGGATTCAAACCCGCGAACCCAGTGTATCCGTAGCATGAAAACGGTGCCGCCATGAATCGAATTGACTGAAGTAACACTCATCATCATATTTTTGCAGTGGCAGGCAAGGAAACCAGTCTGGATTTACACTCTCCATTGTGAGTTTGAGTCAAATGATTGGCACTTCTGCTTTGTGTTTGGGTGTACATAGTTCGAACTTATGCAATACTATCGGATATGTTGACTTATGTCTTTCTAGGTTCTCTTCAGTCACTCTTGGTGTATGACGAGATGACCGGTCAAAATAACCTCCTTCAAAATCCTTTCACGCACACATACACAAACCTTTCTCTATACGTATTTACATTACACACATTAGAGAACCCAATACCGAGGAAATCAATACCCCACCACACACCCAATCAATCAATCAATCAATCTAGTGTGCATAAACAAGCTACTGTCCCACTCAGCAACAAGCCGCACCGCTTTTATGACGTAAGAAAGGCAGATCTGAATGCTCACCCGCAGTGTGTCCATCGCAGAGTCCGTCTTGCGTCAGTGAGCCATTTAAGTTCTGCTGCTGGCTGCCTGCTCCTGCAAACAATATGCGCAGTGGTTAAGGCTTACCGCGTTACGCCCGAAAATAAGACGACTCTCTATTTTTCCAATAAGAAAACCGTCTTTCTTTTGACAAAACTGAACATGTCAATTAGTTCTGAGGGTCGCAAGCAAAATGAAGTAAAAACTGGACTATTAAGAAATAATAAATTCAGAATATAGTACCATCAATATAGTTCTACGTATTTTCACAAATATCATTAGAATTTGTAATTATAACTCTTCATAACTGTCTTCTTCATATTTATTCTTAAGGACCCAAAAATAAGGCGACCCCTCTTTTCCAAGAAACAGAATTTAGAAGGAAAAAAAGAACTCTCTTCATATTCGTGCTAATTGCCACATATTTTCGTATTTATCAACACCGTTTTCACACCAGAACCCCGATCTGGAACGGAGTACGAGTCATAAAATATAGGGTTCTAAGAGGAAAGAACAAATTGAAACATAAATCCCCTTAGTACTTCACTAACAGGGAGCCGTATCATAGCTGAAGTGAGATGCTGGCTTCCTATTGCGGCGTATCTGGCTCAATCCAGAGTGGCCGCATGTGAGATTCATGGCGGAAGTACTTGCACTGGAGTTGATTTTCTTTCTGACTTCTCTCGGATTTCTCCTGCCAATCGCCATTCTATCAATAATTCATACTCATTGTATCCGTAACCAGGTAGCTTATTATCACATCCTTGGTGCTAATGATTAGGATCTGATGTCTGACTGGCACTTGGCTGGTTACGGAGTAAGGAAATCAGTTTTCAGCTAACTAACAGGTCTCCACATGTGTTGGCACTCCCTTAGTCCCTATCGGCTAGTGACGGGTACGCTAACATGGCGTACTTTCAACCTCAATGCCACCTCACCTTCAGGTTGTGATCTGTTTTTTAATATTTTGAAACATGAAATGCTTCTAAATAATGTTTAATAGTTCAATTCCTATACCACAGAGAATACACTGGATAATGTGGTTCAAGAAAAAAATGTCACTTTTCCGAATCCTATGAAACACATAAATACATTCAGTCAGCACAATGTAAACTGTTTAAGTGTTAAAGTAAATGGTATACAAGTATATAGCAATGACTTTCATTTACGGAGTTGACAGAGAGATTAGCAACGTGTTATCAAGGGCAAAACTTGGTTTTGCGAGAGGTAATTTCAGAAGTACCGCAGAGAACATTTGAGCAGGCCATAAGATGACGAAATCTTTCTAATTTTACATCAGGCAAGAGCCAGACATCAAAGCATCGACACTGACTTGTTTGTTGTTCTGTTTGTTATATTTATGCCTTGTAATTAATATCCGCCGGTTACAGTAGCCGCGCGGTCTAAGGCATGAACTCATGAACTTTCTTCGCTCGCTCGGACGCTGGGATCGTGGTTTCGAATTCCGGCATGGACGTTTTGCGTGTGTATGTGTTTATTCTGTGTTTGTGCTGACCTGTGTTTAGGTAGAGGCCTTGCGACGAGCTGGTGACTCTTCCAAGGAGTTCTACCGTCTGTGAAAAATGATCACGGAACTGAATAAGAGGCCAGGGTCCTAAATTGGCTGGAAGAGGCATTGAGAAAAAAATAATATCCAGAACGAAGGATGAAAATGTTTTACGCTAGATGGCTCAGTAATCAGGGCTGACGGATCAACATTCGAAATTTCTTAGCCTTATAGACTTTTTTTTAACTACAGCCAGAATCATGTGGTTTCCACTGTCCATTGGAAGTAAAGAACAAAGAAGACAATAATGCGGACTGGGTTTTATCTATCCTATTTAAACACTTCTTAGACTCGAAATTGAAAGGCAGTAAAACTCTTTGGGAGTAGATATTGCTTTCTAGTACGAAAGGAAAGTATATTTTTTTAAACCCTGTAATTGATTTTTTCTTGCTGTGTACTTTAAATCTGACTAGATTCACCATGACTTGTGGAAGTGAGTTTCAATTTGCGTGATGATAGTGTGAGGAGATGGAAGCGCACGCAATATCAGCTTCTTGTGAGCGTTACCAAGCCCAAAATCAATTTTCTTCAGCATGCTGCTTGTAGAGCGTAGTTGCTACCTAGAGAGCTTGGCTCCTGTGTGCACAGTCTTCCTGCAGTCTCTATCTGAAATATGTCGAAAGAAATGTTATTCGCTCCTGATATCATTATAAGCGAATTCTGGCGCCTGATTTTACAATACAATGAGACAAGCTTTGTTGATGGCCCAACGGTAGGGAACAAAAGAGCAACTGCATTGTTGTTAACTTTATTAAATAAAGCTACATCTCATTATCATGACTTAATAACAGACTGCCAATTACTATCAAATATGTTTCAGCTGTGAAAAGTGCTCGTATGACATAGTATTCACTAAAGAACGTTAACCCTCTTATGTACGAAAAAACCTGTACCCAATTCATGATTCTCATTCCCCTTTCCATAGAAAAATGTATATTCTCCTACTGGTTCAGTGCCAGCTCCATCCCATCTGACCTCCTGCACTCCTGCTAAGTCTATCTTTTTTATTGCTAGTGCGGTGGGACTAAGTACCTTGTACTGCGGCTACTTCTGGCCTATTGTACTAGCCCCAGATTATAGGTGAAGGTGATTGTGGAGCAACTGGTGGAATGAAGATTGGCAGGGGAAACTGAAGTTCTCGGAGAAAACCTGCCCCAGTGCCACTTTGTCCACCACAAATCCCACTTGACCAGACCCGGGATCGAACACGGGCCGCCGCGGTGGGAAGCCAGCGACTAACCTCTGGAGCTATGGCACGGCCTCCCACTAAGTCTAACTTATATTTTGTGATTTCTTACGACAATGTCCTGAGCGAACCTGCCCTTTACAAACTGCTGACTTTCCGAATCTCATGTCTATTTTCTTTAGCCTAGGTCGTTTATCCAGAGGATCCGTCCACGTTCGAGGCTTTGTGTTCATTTTCGTAACAGGGTTATTTTTTACGGTCAGGAGTTGTTAGCCCCATGCCCAACCCCCAAACTGGAGAACCACCCCTTGTCGGCTGTCGGTGACTGCTTATTCAATATATTCGCAGCTACCCTCCATACCTAAAGGGCGTCTCCTCCATCCGCAACCTGAGGACGCGCCATGCCGTGGTGACAAGGGGCCCACCTAACATGGGAAAAGGACTGCACGGCGAGGAAATTCATAACTTTGTATTTTCGCCAAATATTACTTTCCCTGTGCTTAATTAATTAAGCATTACGCCATGAAGGGGTATGGGGAAGTGGACGTATAGATCCACGTTTTCTTGATCTCGGCACTAGTTGAAGGTGAGTGATCAGCTTCATGCTCCGACCGCTTTAACCTCGGGGAAAGAGCCCCCGGCACCCATTTGGTAAGAGGCTGGGTGAACCCCAGAACCGGTCTGGACGATATGGAGGAGAAAAATTCTTGCCTCTACCGGGACTCGAACTCTGACACCATGGTCGTCCAGCCCGTAGTCATTATGGTGATAAAATCAAGGGGAATGAAATTAAAGTGATATATAAAGCATGGGAAATATCAGATATGCCTGTACGATTTTGGCTGAAAAACTTGATGGCGGAAGATCACTTAGGAAACCTAGGTGTAAAGCTGTTACTTAATTGTGTATTAAATAAACGCCCTGAAAATTTGTGGACATGATTCGTGTGTATCTGGATACGATCCTACGACGGGTTGTCATACTAACTAATATTTGGTGCCCGTAAAAAGGGACGACTTCCTTGGCTAGTCGAGGATGAGGAAATAGAAAACAGCTGGAAAGTGAAGACCTTTATATAATGAGGAACGTAATATTTTTACTGTTTACCAGGTATTATTATGGCCATACGATAAAATTGGAGATTACTGTAACAAATCAACGAACGATTGGTTTCAACAAAAGGTGGGAAATTTACTGACTAAGCTACTACTAGCTTCTCAAGAGCGACTCGAATCCTATATCGTATTTGTAAATATTCAGTTCTCGACTTCTATGTTTGATACAATTTTTCTTATTGGAACTCATACGCTCGCCAAGAAGCTATCTTCACCACCAGAACCAATAGGCCAGTCTGATTTAGAAAACTCATACCGAGCCCTTCCCGATTCCCTTGAACTTAAATCTAAGTGAATTCCATAAATCTAACTATAAAGAGTCTCTCTCTCCTCTTGCTCCCGCTGTGGAGCATCGGGCTGATTTCTCAGTTTCATGATCATTTTACAGATAGTAGGGCTCCTTTGACGGGTGATTAGCTCGTCGCAAGGCCTCTACCTAATCACAGGATAACACAAACACAGAATAAGAGCATACACACACCAAACATCCATGCCTTGTGCGGGATTCGAACCCACAATCCCGGCTTCGGAGCGAGCGAAGACAGTAAATGGCTTAGACCGCTCGGTTACCGTGACCGGCCACTATAAACAGTACGAGAATAACATTCCCACAACGCAACCTTTCTGAACCCCGTTGGACATCTCCTGATGGAAAGTACATAATCAGATTGATATTTTGATAGAGAGGAGACAGCATTCATATTATATACACAATGTCTATCATTCATGGGAACCGTCTGTGATACCCACAGCTATCTCTAATAGAGTAGTGAGGCGGTTGGTCTAGAAGTAAACACAGAGAAAACCAAGTATGTATATGTTGATATTTCGTCATCAGAATGCAGGACAAATCGTAAATGCAGCTAACGGATCTTTAGAAATTGGTATTTAGGAACGGCAATAATAAATACTAAATTTCTTTAAAGAGGAAACTGAGAGCAGATTAAATTCTGGGAATGCTTTCTGCCATTCAGTTCTGAATCTTTGTTCATATCGTCTGCTGTCTAAACCCATACAAATTAAAGTATACATAAATGCAACTTTGCCTATAGTTTTGTATGGGCTTGAAGCTTGATCTCTTATACTAAGGGAAGAATATAGACTGAGTGTGTTTGAGAACAGGGTGCTGACGATAAAATTGTATAATGAGGTTCATAATTTGTATTCCTCACCAAATATTATAAGA